TTATAGAACCACAGGACTTTGGTGAAACCATTTTGAGAGAAGTGGTGGTGAAGGAAGCCGGATGATAGTGGATTGAGGAACATGAGGTTGTAAGGAAGCAGCTACAAAGAGAATACTAAGCAGGACCAGCATCATGAGCACTTACCTTGTGCCAGGCCCTGAGCTAAGCACTTTACATGTGTTAACTCATTTACCCTTCCCAGCAGACCAATTATATAGGCATTTTCGTGATCCCCACTTTACAGTTAAGTTACCCTCTCAACTCAGAGAGGGTAACTTGCCTAGGGAAGGCTTGCAGCAAGAAAGTGGTAGAACCAAGATTTAAATCCAGATCTGTCTCCCTTTGGAGTTCATGTCCTTAGCTGCTCAGGCCCCATTTCCTCTCGGGTGTCTTTGTGGCAGGAAGGCAAAAGAGTGAGTGTATGAGGTGACATGCAGTTGAGACCAGGAAGGTTGCAAACATTTTAATGCTGATGAGAGAGAATCAGTAGAAAGAAGTAATTTGAAGGCTGGGAAAAAGGGGACTAATTTATACAAGAGGGGACTGAGAAGAACTCCAGTGCACAGGTAAAAGGAAATCCCTTCCATTGAGGTGGAGGTTGGGGAGAGGGTAAAAGGCAGGCATGTGTTGCAGATATTTTTGTCAGTGGGTAGAGGCAAAGAGGATGGGGATAGTTGAAAGTTCTCTTCTGATTGTCTGCTGAGCCTAAGGGAGGTGATGATCAAGTAGCCTCCAGGAAGGTGTAGAACACAGAATGAAGCAGTGGTGGAGAGATAACATTTCCGGGATAGCCTCAAGGGCCCAGCGAAGATGGGGACCATGATTTTGCAGTGGTCCAAACCCGTTTTGTGATTTTTCTCCCTTTCCTCCAGTAGAATACAGTACTCAGACTCAGGAGCACAACAGGCAGATGTTAGATTGATCTAAGGTTGACAGTTTTGCCCACTGGTTGTGACAGAAGAAAAGAGATGGATTGTTGAGAGTATTGGCTAGATTGCGTTTGAGGTCATGGATCACCACATGTAGGCCAGCAAGGAAGGAAGCCAGGATGAGAGAGGATGGAGAACAGAAGGGAAATGGAGGGGTCATAGTACTAGAGTCTGCAGAAGGTTCAACAGTAGGACTTTGGTGGTAGGAGCGTCCTTCTCCTGAGAATTCCATGTCCAGAGATGACCTGTCTGTGACAAATAAGGCAAAATTACACAGTAAGGGACTACAAGGGTAGAAAACTACCTACCAGTGATGTTTATCTCTTTACTGAGGGGACTAAGGAAGGGTGCCAAAGATACTTTTATTTGTTTATTGTAAACATTTTATACTGTTTGGCAGCACTGTTTGAATTTTTTTTAACTAGTATGTACTATTTTATTTTTTTAATTTGAGATGGAGTCTCACTCTGTTTCCCAGGTTAGAGTACAGTGGTGCAATCTCTGCTCGTTGCAGCCTCCATCTCTTGGGTTCAGGTGATTCTCCCGAGTAGCTGGGATTACAGGGCTCACCACCACACCCAGCTAATTTTTTTTGTATTTTTGGTAGAGACGGCATTTCACCCTGTTGGCCAAGCTGGTCTCAAACTCCTGACGTGAAGTGATCCACCCGCCTCAGTCTCCCAAAGTGCTGGGATTATGGACGTGAGCTACTGTACCAGAGCTATACTACTGTTTTAATTTAAAAAAAGATACAGGCTGAGCGCGGTGGTTCACGCCTATAATCCCAACACTTTGGGAGGTCGAGGCGGGCAGATCACGAGGTCAGGAGTTCAAGACCAGAACGGCCAACATGGTGAAACCCCGTCTCTACTAAAAAATACAAAAATTAGCTGGGCATGGTGGCTTGTGCCTATAATCCCAGCTACTTGGGAGGCTGAGGTAGGAGAATGGTTTGAACCAGGACCTGGGAGGCGGAGGTTGCAGTGAGCTGAGATCACACACTGCACACCAGCCTGGGCTACAGAGCAAGACTCCATCTCAGGAAAAAAAAATGTTTTCAGTGAACCCAAATAGAAGAGTAGGTTTACATGAAAGCAGAGAGATGAGTGAGCTGGAGGTAGGAGGCTGTGGTCCTGAAATGGGACCCTGGAGTGTATTATCTATCTGTGAAATCGCAAGGTCTTAGATCTGAAGAGGAGTAGCTGGAATCTGGTCCCACCCTGCCATTGTTTACAAGGGAGGAAATGGGAATCCTGAGACTTGCTCAGCTTGGCAGCAGCAGAACCAGAACCAGAAGTAACCTGTCCTGATTTCCCAGCCCTCTGGTCTGTTTTTCATCCTGCCTCCTAAGCCCTTGAGGCTTCTTAATTTCCTGCTGTCCTAGCCAGGCTCACGGCACATGTGGCCATGACGCTGCTGGCTGACCAGGCTGTTTGCCATACTGTGCTTCCCACACGTCAGTGCTTCTCAGTGTGCGGGGTGTGGGCGGGTGTTTGTAGAGGCGGCTGTCCTGTCCCCTGCCTATTTCCTGCCCTCTTCATAGCCAGGCAAAGCAGCAGCTTGGAGGCGGAAAACCACAGTGGTGATACCCTATTTACATCCTTTTAAATGACCTTGTGTCCCTCCTGTTTTGCCAGCTCTCGTGTTGCTGCCTCCCCAAACATCTCTCTCATAATTTGCTTAAGCAGCAGCCATGCCCCTGTATCTACTTCTTTCAGCCCAAACCCAGATGAGTCACTGAGAAAACTTCAGACAGAGATTCTTCACTGTGAGATTGATGGCAGGCAGTGGAAGGATTATAATTCTGGAGAAATAGCCCTTGAGTTAGGAGCATCATTCTGGGAAAAAAGTGCTCTCATATTCAGCAGATCTGCAGAGGAGCCTGTGACTCTCCAAAAGACTACAGATTTAGGGAATGGAGTGCTGATGTGTTTTAAAAAAATGAATTTTTATTTAAAAATCTAAAAATTAGGTATTTTTCTGTCTTCCAAGTAATAGTTGAGATAAACCTGGTGTTTGTGCAGCTTCTCTTGTTTTGGCATCTGGGCAGTGAGCCGCGGTAGTTTCGTATGGATTAGTTGTGATTTCTCCTTATGTGGCAGGCTGAGCCCTAGAGGATTAGCACTAAAGCTCAGGACTTGGCTGTCTTTTGGTTGGCTGCCTGGGTAGATATGCAGATGAACTTTCCACACAATGATGCTGGGGCTCCATGATGTGCGGAGTGGGGACAAGAAGGCTGAGGATGGGGTATGGTTTTTCCTCACCCTTGTTCCTAAGGTTAAATTCTCATTTGTCTCCCTGTAGAGTCTTCCTGTAGAGATGGGTTTGTAGACGTAGCCTGTCCTGTTGGAGAGCTGAATGGCCCTACAGATTCTGCCTTGAATGTGGTCTTTGCATCAAGTGAAGGTCTGCTTGTTCTTTTGTGTTGCAATAATGTATTTTTAGGGTTCAAGAATGGAGTTATGAGTTGACCTGGCCCAGAGTTGCCTCAGATTCCCTCTTATTTGCAGAATGTAGGCAGGTATTGGTGTGGGCATCCAGAGTATTGATTGGTAAGAGAAAGAATGTGTTTATTCGTGATGGTAGGAAGGCCTTCTTGGCTTGCTTCTTGGCACATCTAAGAGCTGAGATACAGCCATGTGGTAGTGCTCAAGAGGTCTGAGCAGGCTTCCTTGGATTTCTTCTGTCTAGAGAGGAGTAGCATTTGAGATTCTAGTTTGGTTCTGAATTCTCCCTCCTTGCCTTCTCCTGGGCCATCTTATCCCTGACTTTGTAGTGCCATAGGAATGTCTTGGATGTTGTGATGCCAGTGGGATGCATATGGCTCCAGGAGAGAATAGAATAGAGAGGGGTTCATTAAGTTAAGGCTTGGGGCTATAAAATGAGAGCCACCCTGAAAATCACAGGGAAGAACCAGTGGGAGGCTGAGAAGAGACAGTGTATTCTTATTTTGGCTTTGGCATTTTTGTAAAGCTATATTAGATACTACGTTGGTTCATACTTCACCCACTGTTTGGGTGAAGTCTACCTTGGATAGAGAATCTGTTTGGGAAAAGGAAGGAAGGGAGCAAGATGGGCTGGTGACCCTGACCTTCTCTGAGGTATCAGCTGGATCATCTCAGGCCTCTGTTATCTGCTCCATTAGCTCCTGTACTTTTACAAAACTGGAAGCCCTTCATCTGGAGCCCTCAAGAGCAATACTACTTAATGTGCCAATCTGCAATGAGATAAGAAGCATGTGTACCAGAATGTAAGACTGATCTCTTCATCAAGAAAATCTTGTATGAAAAAAAAATGTTAGGGCTGGGTACCGTGGCTCACGCCTATAATCCCAACATTTTGGGAGGCCAAAGCAGGCAGATCACAAGGTCAGGAGTTCGAGACCAGCCTGGCCAATATGGTGAAACTCCATCTCTACTGAAAATACAAAAATTAGCTGGGCATGGTGGCAGGCACCTGTAGTCCCAGTTACTCAGTGGCTGAGGCAGGAGAATTGCTTGAACCCGGGAGGTGAAGATTGCAGTGAGCCGAGATCATGCCACTGGACTGAAGCCTGGGTGACAGAGCAAGACTCTGTCTCAAAAAAAAAAAAGTTAGAACTAGAGAACGTGTTTACTCTGACATAATCGATTTACCTTCAGGCTTCATATAAGCTTTCTATGTAGTGACCAATCAGTAACATAGTTTGCACATTGGCAGCTAATCCGCAGACCACACTTGGAATAGCAGTGCTGTAGAACTGCCTCTCATTCAGAAGCAGTTGGTGAGGTCATGGAATTGTGTGTTTGGTTAAGGCCAAGGCCAGCCAGAAATATAGAGTCCTGGTTATGAAGAGCTGTCACCCAGAGCATTCAGACATGGGTCAGGGTGGCTACTGAGGAGAAAAGGGGCACAACCAGAATGAAAGAGCTAAACAGATGATCAGGCAGTGCCTACGCCAAGGGTAAATGCCACGTTCTCCCTTTCCTTTACCACAGGCATGTGAGCTGAGGGACTAGAGCCAGGGCCTTGGTTTTGCCTGTTGCTTCTAATGGCTGGCTAGCTACACCAAGTTTACCCTGTCTTTGCAGGAAAACAGCATATCCTGGAGAAGAATGTGTTGGTTGTCTCTGTAGTCACACCTGGATGTAACCAGCTTCCTACTTTGGAGTCGGTGGAGAACTGTAAGTACTGCCCTGTCCTCTGTCTTAGAAGAGCAAGCACTTGTCTGAAGCTGCAACTTTTTGGATGGCCTGGCCTAAACTGTGATGCTCGGCCTGGAGTCAGTCCCCCTTGACCATGGGGACCGAGGGTCACCAAGGGCTGAGTTTTTCCTCTGCAGAAGCTTAACCAGTGCTAAAGGTGGGCTGTGGAACATCACACTGGCTCTTCACTGAGTCCTACAGGACACCTACCTGCTGGACTGAATACGTTTCTATTTTAGGAAAGTATACTTTGCTGGTTTTCTCTAACAGACCCTACACTGGGGGAAAGAAGGCGTTCTGGTCACTTACACTGAGATCAAGTTAAGCCATTAGTCCAGTGACTGCCTCCCATCTTCCCTGAGCAGCATATGGGGACTTCTCCGTCTCCAAAGTGAACATTGTAGTTTTGGCTTCTTCCTCACAATTCTTTGAGGAGGTAGCTGAAGAACCGAGCAAGGGGAAAGGAGGGTGATTACAAAGGCGTTGGGAGCACCGCTTGCTGCACTCACCCGGCAGGCATCCCTTTTCCCTTTGCCAGCAGAAGACTTCTTTCATCTTTCTGCTGTGGAAACTGACTGGTGAGGTAGGTGGAGCCTTGTACAGAACTCCACTCCAGCCTGACCCTTGCTGTACATCATCTTCCAGGGTCTACAGTGTCACTGTGGTGACCACCCTCCCATTGCAGCCCCACACCAGGCCATCCTACAGCTATCTTGCTCTGGGAACATTTCATTGAAAGATTTTTTAAAAAAAATATATTACCTTGCTGTTTTTTAATCCAAGGATTTACATAGAATATCTGGTCTATAATCTTTGAGAATAGAAAACCTTAACCAACCAAATGATTTCATTTTCGTCATTTCAGATACCCTGAGCATAAATGATGACCAGTGTTTACTCCTCTCTAAGACTGTCTGGGGAGCTCTCCGAGGTAACAAATTGGGGCTGATGAAGAGAGACAGAGAAAGGATGATGTGGGAAGGTTGGGGTTGGTGAAATGCAGTGGCCCCATCGCTGCTCACTGCAATGTCTGCCTCCTGGGCTCAAGTGATCTTCCCCCCTCAGCCTCCCAAGTGGCTGGGACTACAGTGCCTGTCACCATGCCCAACTAATTTTTGTATTTTTAGTAAAGATGTGGTTTCACCATGTTGTACAGGCCAATCTTAAACTTCTGGCTTCAAGTGGTCCACTCATCTCAGCCTCCAAAGTTCTGGGATTAGAGGTATGTGCCACTGCACCCAGCCAGGAAGCTTTCTTTATGGAAACAACTGGTGTGTTTTCCCGTCTCCATGCAGCTGTCCCTGGAAGTTGACAGGTTTCACCCTGTACAGCTGCTGCCCTAATCAGGGGCCCTGGGAAGCAGTGGGTGAGTTTGCCGGCTGATGCTGTAGGTGCCAGCAGGGGACAGGTAGCTGGTGGGCAGGGGGAATGATGCCACTACAGTCACTGCCTGTCCAGCTCTTGCTAAAGACATGTAATTGGAAAGGTTTTTTGTTTTTTGTTTTTTGTTTTTTTGAGACAGAGTCTCTGTCACCCAGGCTGGAGTGCAGTGGCATAGTCTCGGCTCACTGCAACCTCCACCTCCCAGGTTCAAGCAGTTCTCTGCCTCAGCCTCTGGCTGATTTTATATATATAATTTTTTTTTTTAAGTAGAGACAGGTTTCACCATCTTGGCCAGGCTGGTCTTGAACTCCTGACCTCGTGATCCACCCACCTCAGCCTCCCAAAGTGCTGGGATTACAAGCATGAGCCACCACGCCTGGCCAGAAGGGGTTTTTAATCTTTCAAAGGAAATAGATACATGCAAAAAAAAGAAATAGTAGTGAAATATTTAGAACTACATTATTTCCGGAGAAAATGAGTTAACTGGCTAAACTGTTGGGCCTTGCCCTTCCTCTGGGTTTACTGAGAAGGTATTTGGTGGCTAGATACAGACTTAGCCAAGTACCTCTCCCACTTTTGGTAAACTCTCTGCTAGTGAAGGATGAGGGAAATTCTCTCAGAATTCCACACCTTGTTCTAGATTGTCTTCATTTCCTTCCCCCACTTCTGTGCTTGGAAAAACAGTATGCTGCCTCCCCTTCCTGCCCTCTTGCACCTTTCTTGCAGGTGCTGATGGTGAGTCAGGCTGGGGGTGAGGGAGGAGCTGGGACTCCAGAATGCTGGGTGTCAGAGTCAGAGTGGGAAGAAGCCAAAACAGTACACTCACGGTCTGCTCAAATCAGGTGCTGAGTGACCACTGAGGTCTCATGGATTCTTTCACTTTGAATTGGGGACTCTGATAATTCTTCATGGGGCTTCTGCAAGGTTTCCAGAAGAGGGGCCTCAGCTATTGAGAACATACAATGCTCCGGACGCAGCATGCCTGTGTGTGGGCCTTGCTGGACTTGAGGAGACAGTGTCAGTGGACTAGGGCAGTCCTTCCGGGGCAGTTGCTGTCCACCACAGCCCAACTCCCGATAGCTGGGACTCTTCTCAGTCTCCGAAGAGGAAGAGTAGATGGTATTTTTATATGCTAGGTCCAGCCATGAACCCAGGCTCCTTGGAAACACAAACTTATGATCACTTTCTCATAATTTAATCTAGGACCTCTTTTCTCAGCTCTCTAAGCTCCTGGTAAGGGTTATCCATGGAAAGCCCAACTCTTGTAGGCTACTTGTCCCTGTGTCTGTCCTCATGAGTATACATCTTGGCCTCTCAATATTCTTGTCAAAGCACAGGAAATATAGATAAGAGGTATGTGGGTTTTTAAGTTTAATATATTGTAAGAAGGAGTACTAAAACCCTTGCTCTGACATCTCCGAAAATAAAATACAGAGTAAAGATAGATACTGGCTTCCTAATATATTCCCCTTTCTTTTCTCTCTCTTTTTTTTTGAGATGGAGTCTCGCTCTGTTGCCCAGGCTGGAGTGCAGTGGTGCTATTGATCTTGGCTCACTGCAACCTCTGCCTCCTGGGTTCAAGCGATTCTCCTACCTCAGCCTCTGGAGTAGCTGGGACTACAGGTGCGTACCACCACGCCCAGCTAATTTTTGTATTTTTAGTAGAGATGAGGTTTCACCATGTTGGTCAGGCTGTTCTCAAACTCCTGTCCTCATGATCTGCCCGCCTTGGCTTCCCAAAGTGTTGGGATTACAGGTATGAGCTACGGCGTCCAGCCAGTATCCCTTTTTCATCAGTGCTGAGAATCGTCAAGCCTACACTACATCCATTGTCACTGTGTACCAAAACGTTATGCTCTGCCATACTGAGAACCTTCCAAATAGATACGTCTCTTTTTCCCTTCCCTGAGTCTTTGCTCTGCCTCTCTGCTTATTCCTAGGTCTGGAGACTTTTAGCCAGCTTGTTTGGAAATCTGCTGAGGGCACAGTAAGTGTGGACCTTCAAAAAGGGCTCCTTTTTCATCTTAGGGGTTTTATCCCAATGTTGAGAATCCTAGAAAAATCTCCTTTTGCCTTAGAGGATCGAGGTGGCTTGAGATAGCCCCAGTAGAAACATAAGAGGACATGTGGGCGGAAAACTGATTTGGTAGATTTGGTCTATTTGGAATCACTGCAATTTGGTCCCCCTGAGTCATTATTTAATAATGACATTGAGGCTACGCTGCTTTGAAGAAAATAAACTATGTTAACAGTCAGGGAAATCTAGAAATTACAGACTGGGTGCCATATGGGACAGTTGTATTAGGCTGGCATTGGACAGTTGCTCTCTGGGAAGGTGGCTGCTTATGGTCATTGATAGAGGTGGGAACATTTGGGGAGATAGTGACCCTGAGAACAGTTACAGATTGGCTTTTTAAGAATCCTGGGAGAGTTGTCTTCATCTCCCTGTGCCCCCATGGTAACTCCCTTTGAATCTGACATGTTCAATGTTTGTTTTGCACAGTTCTTTATCAACAAGACTGAGATCGAGGACTTTCCCCGCTTTCCTCACCGAGGTTTGCTGTTGGATACGTCTCGCCATTACCTGCCACTCTCTAGCATCCTGGACACTCTGGTACCCAGGCCTTAGCGCCTTCTTCACACTTGGAATTCTGGGGCGACGGAGCAGCAGACAGACCAAGTTTCAAATTCTTAAAGAGTTAGAGAGAGAATGTGTGGACTGGGTGTGGTGGCTCACGCCTCTGATCCCAGCACTTTGGGAGGCCAAGGCAGGTGGATCACCTGAGGTCAGAAGTTCGAGACCAGCCTGGCCAAAATGGCAAAACCCCATCTCTACTAAAAATACAAAAATTGGCTGGCCATGGTGGCACATGCTTGTAATCCCAGCTACTCAGGAGGCTGAGGCAGGAGAATCACTTGAATCCAGGAGATGGAGGTTGCAGTGAGTGGAGATCATACCACTGTACTCCAGCCTGGGCAAAAGAGTGAGACTTGGTCTCAAAAAAAAAAAAAAAAAAAAAAAGGCCGGGCGCAGTGGCTCACACCTGTAATCCCAGCGCTTTGGAAGGCCTAGGCGGGTGGATTACCTGAGGTTAGGAGTTCAAGACCAGTCTGACCAACAAGGTGAAACCCCGTCTCTATAAAAATAAAAAACTTTTAAAAGTACGTAACTCTATGAGCTCCTGGGAAACAATGTAGAAGATGACCTGCTCTAAGCCTCAAAAAATAACAAAGAGTAACTTAAATCTACCCTACAGGCTACTGTAGATCAATGTTCATACTGTTTACAGGGATATAGATATTTAGGGAAATTGGCTTCATTGGCAGAATTAACTTTATTTATTTTGAGACAAGGTCTCAATATTTTTTTTTTTTTTTTGTGGGGCTGGAGTTATGTCATGTTGCCCAGGCTGGTCTTAAACTCCTGGACTCAAGCAATCTGCCCACCGTGGCTTCCCAGAGTGGTAGGATTACAGGCGTGAGTCACCTGGCCTGCAGAGCTAACTTCAGTTAAGTCAAGGTCATAGGAGAGAGATGTTCAAAGCCTTACCTGGGGGCCAGGTGCAGTGGCTCACACCTGTAATCCTAGCACTGTGGGAGGCTGAGGTGGGTGGATTGCTGGAGCTCAGGAGTTTGAGACTAGCCTGGCCAACACAGTGAAACCCCTTCTCCACTAACAATACAAAAAATTAGTCAGGCATGGTGGTGCGAGCCTATAGCCCCAGCTACTCAGGGGTCAACTGAGCCGGGGAGAGGTCAAGGATGCATGAACTGTGATTGTGCCACTGCCTCCATCCTGGACAGCAGAGAACCTGTCTCAAAAATAAATAAATAAAAGAGCCTGAGGCACGAGAATCTCTTGAACCTGGGAGGTGGAGGTTGCAGTGAGCCAAGGTTATGTCACTGCACTCCAGCCTGGGTGACAGAGCAAGACTGTCAAAAAAAAAAAAGCCTTACTTGGGGAGGTTTCTAACTCTCTTGAGTTTAATATGCAGTCTAATTTGATAGTTCCTGATCCAGTTCCTGTGTGTCTGCCTTTTCCTTTACTTCTGTGATGGAACCAAAAGAGACAACACATCTGCCAGCCTTGGCTTCTGAGATTATGAGTTAAGAGGCTACTAAGTTGCCAGGAGGTCTCACAGTTGAGGTTAACACCTGTCAGACAACCCAGCACAAATGGCAAGAGGAAGTGTTGATCTTCAGGCTTTGGAAGATTCCAGGGAGCCACAGTAGCTGCAGCCCTCCTCTTAATGTGGCCAGAATTTATTTCAATAAGAGGAAAGACCACTTGTGTCATCCATCTTTGGGTGTGTCCTGGGAAAAGTAGAAGTGTGCTGGGCCTTCCTCCATGCCATCCCTCCCTGATGGGAAGGTTTGATAGAGAGTCTCCATAAACACTTCTTTGAGAGCTGAGGCAGATCAAGCCTATAGGGGTGTGTGGAGCAGCCTGAGTGCCTACCCAGCATTCCAAATTTGAGACTGAAACTGGAGAGACCAGTGGGTTCACAGTGTGCACTTTAACCTACAGGATGTCATGGCGTACAATAAATTGAACGTGTTCCACTGGCATCTGGTAGATGATCCTTCCTTCCCATATGAGAGCTTCACTTTTCCAGAGCTCACCAGAAAGGTATGTCCCCATTTCACTCAGGCCAAGTTTATGAGTCCATGTCTGAGGCTGGCTGTGGCCCTGCTGGCAAGGACAGGGTCTCTCATCCTAACCAGCCAATTTTAGACCAACATAGGGGAAGAACACTGGATTTGGAGTCAGGAGACTTGAGTTCAAGTCCAAAACTTTGCCAATAATTTTGCCTTGTGACCTTTAGGAGATAATCTCTTCTGGCTTTATTTTCTTTTTATTTATGTACATTCTGTTAAATGGACATAACATTAATATGCACCATGATTATCTCACTGGCATTATGATACTCAGATAAAACAGATGTGAGAACTTCTGGGAAATTATTATCAAGTTTTTCGAAGATAGTCCTTGATTCCAAAGGGCTATGGCAGGTTTTCTGATATCTGGGGAGTCTTGGGGGCATTTTGAGTATCTTCTACTCGGCTAGCTTTCAGGAAATGTGATCCTGAAGGGTGTCTTGTACCTTTTAGGGGTCCTACAACCCTGTCACCCACATCTATACAGCACAGGACGTGAAGGAGGTCATTGAATACGCACGGCTCCGGGGTATCCGTGTGCTTGCAGAGTTTGACACTCCCGGCCACACTTTGTCCTGGGGACCAGGTAAGAATAATGTCTGAGACCGGAGGGACTTGGCTTATTATGCTCAGAGTGAAGCTTCAGGGCACTGGCTTATGGATCAAGTGGCATATCCCAGCCTTGGTCCTTGGAAGAATGTTTTCCATCAACTTCTTCCGCCTGGGAATTTATATAGGAAGAACTCACTTTGGGCAACAGAGGCCACTTCTTAGTACTAAAATATGTACTATTAGATATGTAAGGGCACATTTTTCTCAGATGCCGTTGCAGGTAGTTGTGGCCTAGAGTGGATGCTGAGGAATGTGACCACCAGGGTGAATCTGAAAGGAAGAAGCCCAAGGCAAGCCTGCCGAGATCAGAATCAGTCAGTCACTACCCCTGCCCCCTTTCTTCTGTATACCCTCAGCCCTCCAGTGTGAACCCTCAACACTGGTTAAACAGTGCGTGAAAGGGGCTACTGGCCTGATAGAAAACTGAATGTATTGGCCGGGTGCAGGGACTTACATCTGTAATCCCAGCACTTTGGGAGGCCAAGGCGGGTGGATCACCTGAGGTCAGGAGTTTGAGACCATCCTGACCAATATGTTGAAACCCATCTCTACTGAAAATACAAAAATTACATAGGTGTGGAGGTGGGCACCTGTAATCCCAGCTACAGGAGGCCGAGGCAGGAGAATCATTTGAACCCGGGAGGTTGCAGTGAGCCAAGATCGTGCCACTGCACTCCAGCCTGGATGACAGAGCGAGACTCCATCTCAAAAACCAACAAACAACAACAAAAAAAACCCTGAAGATACCTTGTGGCCTCAGCATCAGGAAGTAAAGACTCTGGGCCAAGGGAGATGCCCCTAAGGAAATGTAAGAAGAGTCTGGATGATGGCTGACCCCATGTACAGGAGGAGATAGAGAAGAAAGATTTTGCCAGTTTGGATTAGGCTCTCCCTCTGCCGAAAGGCTTGTGAGGAGAGCAGCCTTGGGAGCAAGGGTGGCTGGTGCCTGCTAGAAAAAGTGTGTCAAGGCAAGAGTGTGTGTGCTGACATTTGTCTGGCTGGAACTCAGCCTCTGCCTATGATTTGTATCTTTTTATTGTGACTAAATGGTGGTGACTACCAGTGTCTGTGAGTACCTGAGTGTGCCTGCCTAAATGTGTGTGATGTTGATGAATACATTTGTCTCACTTTGTGTGACTTACGTCCTTACTTGTAGGACTATGCATGGGGATTTACGTATTTGTGACATTCACATGGGGTTCTCTGTTGGCTTAGGTATCCCTGGATTATTGACTCCTTGCTACTCTGGGTCTGAGCCCTCTGGCACCTTTGGACCAGTGAATCCCAGTCTCAACAAGACCTATGACTTCATGAGCACATTCTTCTTGGAGGTCAGCTCTGTCTTCCCAGATTTTTATCTTCATCTTGGAGGAGATGAGGTTGATTTCACCTGCTGGTATGAGCCCTTTGATCTTCCCATTGTGGCCTGATCAGTTGCTTACTCAGAATAGAGGTTAGCACCCGAGGGGCTGCCTAGCTCAGCGGCTGCTCTCAGCAGTTTGTATGGGTTCACACTGCTCAGGTCTTAGGCCTTCCTCTGCCCATCTACATAGAGATCCTACCTGATTTCAGCAAGGCTTTCACTGTGAACCTCTTCCTTCATACTCTCATATTCCTGAGGTATTGATAGAAAAGCCAGCTCTGGAAACAGAATTGTCTTGGAAAAGTTCAGAATAGAGAGAAATAATCCCGGTGTATGAAGGCTTAAAAGTGTCTGGTTGGAGAGTCAAGACACAGAATTCAAGACTAATAGATGACAGTGTCTAATTAGTATTCAGTTGTAAAATCCAAACCCCTTAGTTCTAGTGAGCTCAAAAGAGGTAGAGGGGCTTCTTTGAGAAGAGGGCACTAGAGCTGAATCTGGGGAAATCGTTTGACTTTTTGGAGACGTGAGCAGGGGAAAATATTTCAGAAGAAGAGCAATGTGAGCAAAATGTGGACATTGTAACGCAAGGATTCTGCAGCAGGTGATAGCAAGGCTTCTAATCCAACTGCAAGAGCAGATAGGAAAGCCAGAATCCAGCTCGCTGGAGCTTTAAGTTAAAACCTTGGATCCACATGTTGCAGTCCCGAGTGGATTAAGGTGTTCTCCTTGGGAGTTTGAACTTAAAATGCTTCAGGTCCAGACTCAGGCTTTCTCAGCCTGGGTCAACAGCCCACTTCATATAACTTTACTTGGCCACATTTTCCACATGTAGGGCTTCTGAGATCCTTGCTTATTTGGTTTTTCAGGTGAAAAGAGGAAGTTATAAGGTGCCAGGTGACTAATCCCCAGGCATTGGGCTTTCAGTATGTTGAAAGATCAATCTTCGTTTTCTCTTGGGATTCAGGAAGTCCAACCCAGATATCCAGGACTTTATGAAAAAGAAAGGCTTCGGTGAGGACTTCAAGCAGCTGGAGTCCTTCTACATCCAGACGTGAGGAAGGAAGGAGGGTGGGCAGGGTCCCTTGGGGGTCACCTCCTGTGTGGTCCTCCCTTTCCATACCAGAGTCAGGCCCTGCTTAGCCACTTTCTGGCCCCTGCAGGGTTCCCTTGTCCTTTGTCCCATCCTTCAGGTTTGGAGTGGTCAGTTTCCAACCCTGGGGAAGACACTGCTCAATGAGGAATAGGCCCCTGGCCAGGCTGAAGCCCTAGAGCACTGGCACAAACCGTCTAGAGCCCGTCTGAGCTAAGCAGACACTTACTAGACATTCCTCTCCTCTCCAGGCTGCTGGACATCGTCTCTTCTTATGGCAAGGGCTATGTGGTGTGGCAAGAGGTGTTTGATAATAAAGTAAAGGTGAGTCGGGGCAGAGAAGAGAAGAAGCCACCAGTGGTACCTCCCTCTGGTCTCCCCAGCTCCTCCCTCCTCTACAGAGACCAATCTTCCTGGTTTGGATTGGGCTGTAATGGTCAGAACACTCTCCTTTTCTCTCTAGAAAGGCCACAGAGTGCCGGGTGCGGTGGCTAATACCTGTAATCCAAGCACTTTGGGAGGCCAAGGGAGGTGGATTGCTTGAGCCTAAGAGTTCAAGACCAGGCTGGGCAACAGAGCGAAGCCCTCATCTCTACAAAAAAAGAATACAAAAATCAGGAGGCTGAGGTGGGGGGATTGCTTGAGCCCAGGAGGCAGAGGTTGCTGTGAGCCAAGACGTGCCACCGCACTCCAGCCTGGGCAACAGGGTGAGACACCCTGTCTCAAAAAAACCAAAGGCCACAATGGTATCAGCCCTGGGTTTATGTGTCAGAGTCTCTATCTTCCCTCACTACAAACTTGATTAATAACTATTTCTGCTGCTAGGTTACTTGGATAGGCTGGCTTTTTCTTCCTGAACCATAGATTAAGGTCTTCTGGGTCTATGGGAGCAAATCCCAGTCTCCTGTCACATCCAAGGACTCTGCCAGGAACCTTGTCCCATCCCAGAAACATCTGGAGACTTTTGGACCGGGCAGCTTGTGGGTCCCACGGTTTGCCTCCCTCAGCTCACAGCAGGTGTTACTAGCTCTGTGTGGACAGGGAGGCTGCAGAGGAGCAGAGAGAGGAGAGCCGCAGGGAGGCCTCTTAGGGCCCTGGATTCCTTGGCCTTTTCCTGGGATGTGAGCTCAGTGGTCAGGAGTCACAGAGACAGAGTTTGCTGCTGGGGAACAGGGAGGACACAACTGTTATCCCATGTTGCCTGTATATGAATAAGGCCCAGGAATCTTCTCAGGTTTGTGTCTTTACTGCCATTTGACCCTTTATAACAGGTTCGGCCGGACACAATTATACAGGTGTGGCGAGAAGAGACTCCAGTGAACTATACGAAGGAACTGGAACTGGTCACCAAGGCCGGCTTCCGGGCCCTTCTCTCCGCTCCCTGGTACCTGAACCGTATATCCTACAACCCTGACTGGAAGGAGTTCTACCTAGTGGAACCCCTGGCATTTGAAGGTGAAAGCAGGGAGCTCTTCTTGCTGACCAGAGGAGGCTAGGCAGGGGCACAGGATGGGAGGCAGGAAGGTCTGGGCCAGACATTTCAGGTTAGGAAATGAAACAACCTAGCTGGGGTGAGGGCCACATTGGGAAGGTGGTTGAGGGGGACCCTAGAATTATCCCACCATCACCAGACTGTTGTTGCTTGTTTTCCCCCAGGTACCCCTGAGCAGAAGGCTCTGGTGATTGGTGGAGAGGCCTGTATGTGGGGAGAATATGTGGACAACACAAACCTGGTCCCCAGGCTCTGGTAAGGGTTTTCTGGGGGAAGGAGGCAGGGTTGGGCCTGAGAGCAGGGGTTTTCCCTTACAAACTCAATCCCATCTAGCCATGTCCAGACTGGTACCCTCCTTTCAGGCCCGAGAGAGAGCAGGCAGTGCAACAAGGCTTCTGAAGATTTGTGTGCAATATTCACTCCCCACATGACTTCCCTATATATCCCTCCAGCCACCTGTTAGGTATGAGGGATAGGGATTGTTAACCTCATTTCCCAGAGAGATAATGAGGCCTGGAGAACATAGGTGACATGCTCAGGGTCCAGCACAAGCATCCATGGTTCCTGTAATAAGACTTCCCTCTGCTGTTTCCACTGCAGCCTTACCAAGTGTGGTTGGGTGTGCCAGGTTTACGTTTTCAGGACATCTGTTGCTGCCACTGTCATTAGTGGTTAATGATACCTTTAAGGCTTATTCTTATTATCCCTGTCTTTGGGAGAGGAAGAGAGTGGGGATTGCTACCCACATTTTAATGAAGGTGGAGCTGAGCCCCAGAACTGTGTGGGAACCATCCAGCCTGGCTGTGGCTGATAACAAGGTATTGATCACTTCCTTTGACCTGAGCTAGTCCAGGGCGCCTAGACAAGAGGTAGTAACCTGTGGATGTCCAGCACCTTTGCAGGGAATACAGGGCCTAATGTGGCACATGCCCCCTTTCCTCCAGGCCCAGGGCAGGGGCTGTTGCCGAAAGGCTGTGGAGCAACAAGTTGACATCTGACCTGACATTTGCCTATGAACGTTTGTCACACTTTCGCTGTGAGTTGCTGAGGTAAGCAGGCTGTGGGGCCTTCGCAAGGTGGGGTAGGGCAGATCCAGGGCTGGGAGCCCCTTAGAGAGAGGAAGAGAATAATAACAATAACTAACCCTTATAGAAGCTTGCAGTCGGCCCTCATCTACTGATTCAACCAACTGCAATAAAAAGTATTCAGGAAAAAAAGAAATACAACAAAAAATAATAAAAATGTAAAAATACCATATAACAACTATTTACATAGGATTTATATTATATTAGGTATAAGTAATCTAAGATTGTATGGGATTCAAGTAGATGGGAAATGGTACATTGGTTATATGCGAACACTGTGTCATTTTTACATAAAGGACTTGAGCATCCTTCGATTTTAGTATCCATGGGGTTCCTGAAACAAATCCCCTGCCGATCCTGAGGGACAGCTGTATTTTGTGGTAAACACTGCTGAGCTTGTTACACATCTCGTCCCATTTAGTCTTCACTGCAACCTTATAAGATAGATGCATTTTTATCCCCATTTTAGAGATAGACAGCTGAAGCCCAGAGAAGGTCAGTACCTTAATCAAAGTCACTAAAAGGCAGGATTTGAACCAGGCTGACTTACAGGATCTCATGACACCTTTGCCTGTGTAAGAGAGTCATTTCCCTGATTCCTTCATTGGCTAGGTCTTGAGAACCTGGGGGACACAGCCTAGTGCAGAGCAGTGCTGGGCTGAGAGTCAAGCATGGTGGTGTCTAAGCCTCAACTATGTCATTCACTGGGTAACTTCCGGCTGGTTCTCTAAGCATGTTGCTTACGTGGATAATAAGGGAAGCATGCCGAGAGGTCCCCTAAGGAGATCGGTCAGGTTATAGTCTGAGACCCAAGGACAGGATTTCATGTCCATATTCATGGACAGGACAGCACCTAAGTCCCCCAATGCCACCACATTTACGGCGTTTTAGAGTCAGCAACAATGCGCTAAGTAGGCCAAGCGCATTGGCTACCTTTCAGGCATCCACCTATTTTCTAAAGGGATTGAGTTATTCGGGGTCAGGGTACAGAGATAGGCAGGATAGGAATAGAGAGGTGTTCCCAATGTTCCTGGATCTCCAAGATCTGTATCAAAATCACCTGAGGCACCTGCTCAGCTTGCAGATTCTTGCCAATACTTTACCCTACTCTGAGAATCTCTGGAATTGGGATTCCTAGGTACATTTGGTGTATGGTGACAGTTTGAGAGTCACCGAAATGGGGAAGGAGAGACAAGTGGTATAGAAAGTGTTGCTGGGGCCTAAGACTGACCCCTTCTGAGGGGCTCATCTTGCCATTTCTTCATGTCCTCTTGCAGGCGAGGTGTCCAGGCCCAGCCCCTCAATGTAGGCTACTGTGAGCAGGAGTTTGAACAGACCTGAGCCCCAGGCACCAAGAAGGGTACTGGCTCTAGGAGACTGGTAGTGGAGCCAGGCTTCCACTGCATCCTGACGGGGGGACAGCGCCCCTTGCCTGCATGCTCCTGTACTTGGAGAGAAAGGGGCCGGAGCTGATGCTAGCATCCAATAAAGAGTAATGTGGCATTTTTCTGTAATAAACATGGATTACCTGTATTAAAAAAAAAAAAGTGTGAGTGGCCTTAGGGTAAGGGCACAGCCAAGCTGGAGTCAGTATCCGCCCCTGAGATCTTATAAGTTGAGGGCTGGAAATGAAATCTGTAGAGCCTCTGCTGCTCTGCCTAGGCTGTAAGCTTTGTTACTCCTCTCCCACTCCTGAACGTATTCCAGACACCTGCCCTCATCCTCAGCCTGCTCACTTCACTTCTGCATTACATCTCCAAGGCCTTGGTATGTAGGAGAAGCTGTAGGGGCTTGGAGGCGTTCTGGACAGTGGAGAGGGCTCCAGACCCAACCTGGTCACAGAATAGCCTCTCCCCCATGCATACTCATCCACCTCCATCCCCTAGAGCTGTTCTCCTTTGGGTTTCTTGCTGCTTCAATTTCATACAACCATTATTTAAATATTATTAAACATATTGTTCTCTAGGCACTGGGGTAGTGGGGTTTTTTGTTATGTTTTTGTTTTTAAGACAGAGTCTCACTGTGTCGCCCAGGCTGACAGTGCAGTAATGCAATCTTGGCTCACTGCAACGTCTGCCTCCCAGCTTCAAGCAATTCTTGTGCCTCAGCCTCCTGAGTAGCTGGAATTACAGGCGTGCATCACCACGTTCAGCTCATTTATGTATTTTTAGTTGAGATGGGATTTCACCATGTTGGCCAGGCTGATCTTGAACTCCTGACCTCAGGTGATCCGCTCGCCTTGACCTCCCAAAGTGCTGGGACTAGGGGCATGAGCCACCACACTGGCCTGTGGTAGTGTTGAATTTGAAGGTCTCAGAGGCCCTGGTCAATTCCAAAATAACACAGGTGACTTCCATCCCCCTCCTCCCAACCATTCTCAGCCCAAAGTATCTTCGCAGGGAATGGATAGCTGCCCTGAGACCCAAGAGCAAAGCCCCTGGAGGGTGTGGAGATGGGCTGTGGCTCTGGAGAATGATTTTGCAGGTGTGGTTTTCTCTAGAAGGAAATGTCTCATCATGGGCCCAGACCGCCCCCTGGTGGTTTTGTGTGCAGAGGTGACACTGCAGACCAGAGGTGGGGGCAGTAATGGATTGCAGTCATTTTAGATGAGGGTTTCCTTGGCTGTTGTTCTTTGGCTGGGCTCTGGGCTGGGGGCAACAATGGACAGGTTCTAGGCATTTCTTTCAGAAAGCTTCCAGTGTAGTAGATACAGAAACTTGGGGAAGGCAGGGCTGAGAAGGATCTGAGTAAAACTTGGTCCTTCAACACTGTCCTACAGCCCCGGGGCCATGTTCCTTTGGGGTCCTTGTGGGAGGTAGACCAGCCCAGCCTTGTGCTGTTCTTGTAAGGACAGGGTGGCCATTTTCTGCTAGCAGAATTCTCTCGGAATTTTCACACAGCCCAGCCTAGCCAAGTCCAGGGCTATGGCCAAGATATACATAAGTTAAGGCCCCAGCACTGGCACCTACCACAGGAGCCCCCCTACCTCTGTTACCCGGAAGCTTGTAGGAAGGGTGGTCCCCAGAAAAGGACCCAGCAGAAATGCAACCCTGCTTCCGTCCTGGTCATAACTTTCATGTTACTATTGCTTGGGTTAATGTTATAAAAACAGCAGATACTGAGTTGTAAGTCTCAAGTGGATGAAAGCAGAGATCATGAAACACTTGAGTTAAAGAAGTAAGATCCTGTCATTTTTCTAATCATGTTATAAACATTTTCTTTAATGTTTTTACCGCTTTCTTTATTATTTTTACTACTAAATTAACATGGCCTGGTCACAAACTTCATTGGTAGGATGTGCTGTTCCTCACCCTCCACTGTGTCTCCTTTGGTCCATTGATCACGAGAGCATTTACCTGATAGTTGTTAGACCTCAAATGCCAACGGGTCAGAGGCAGTGGCCTGCAGTTTCCTCCCAGTCTGCTCCAGTGCACAGAATCGCCGTTTCCCTAACTGACCTCCTTTCACCTGGGCTGTAAATTGAGAGTCCCACCCAGATCAGGACACAGGCTGTCTTGTGTTCTGTGCACCACCAGGGGGCAGGGGAGTTCTCAGACTGATTTCCTGGCTCCAGTCGCTGTCCCCCACCCACTACCACCCCTTCCCGTTCCAGGAGTCTGCTAAGGAGGCAAAGCAGGCCTAATGGGTATAAAAGCAAAGGAGTAAATGGAGACTGGGAGAATCTTCAACCTCCCCTGTCCTTGGTAGGTGCTGAGGCTGCATGTTAGGTACCGTCCCTTCTAGGAATCTAGTAAAGCTATGTTGCTGGTGTTCCAGGCGTGTCTCAATGGATTATTGTAGGAATAGAATGTCAGGCTGTGAGAGCACAGGTGCCACCACAGCATAGTGATGGAGAGCCATTGCCCCTAGACTTCTGGGACAGCGAGACCGTGAGGAAAGCTGAAATGATAGTGGGAAAGGGTGAAATAAAGGATATAGGATGAATTTATTTAGTATTAATCTAGATACACATGCCTTATGGCAGCATACCCAGCAATGCAAAATCTAGATTTGTATAGTTTTTATCAATATCTTTTGTAAGCTTAATGAATACAGGTCATGACAAGTATGTGTCTCTTTTTTTTCATGAAGAGAAAAAATAAGTAGGAATTGGGTGCTTTGTTTATCAAAATTATTCTGTATTTCTTTTATAAATAAATAAAGTTTGAAATAAACTCTAAGAGGTTGAATATTGGTATCTTTTCCAGCTCGGCCATCATTATTTTAAAAAATCCTCTTTGAAGCAATCGCACGCACGTGTGTGTGTGTGTGTGTGTGTGAGAGAGAGAGAGAGAGAGAAAGAGACTGTGTTTTTCAGTGAGATTTTTAAAAATTGAAATGTCCCAGGTACCATGGCTCATGCCTCTAATCCCAGCACTTTGGGAGGCCAATGTGGGAGGATTGCTTGAGCCCAGGGGTTAAAGATCATCCTGGGCAACATGGTGAGACCTCATTTCTGCTACAAATTAGAAAGATTAGTTGAGAATGGTGGTATATGCTTGTAGTCCCAGCTACTCAGGAGACTGAGAAAAGAAGGATCACTTCTTAGAAAGATTGAGGCTGCAGTGAGTCCTGATTGCACCACTGCACACCAGCCTTGGCAACAGGGTGAGACTCTGTTTCAAAAAAAAAAGAAAGAAAAAATTAAAATGTCTGTGAACCTTGCTTTTTTTCACAGTAATTACTGCACTCTAACCACACCAATGTTCAATCTAGAGTACCCCAGTAAATACTTCTATTTTTTAATGATTTCAAGTGTTTCAAACAACAGAAAAGTCTAGAAAATAAAATAGTGAACAGTGTAACCACCCAGCTTTGTTGTATCTTAGTAGTCATATTTGCTTCAGATTCGTTTTTTTTAAAAAGATGAAACATTAAATTATAATGTCCACCTTCCCAATACTATTCGCTTCTCCAAAAACAACTGTTTTCCAGAATTTCTTTTTAATCTCATTTCCTCTGGAGAATCTGATACTTAGCTGTGATTTTTTTCATCATTGTTAATAAATTCTTTATGGCTCACTCTTTATAGCAAATTAGAAAGAGATGTTTTGGAAGCCACTCAAAGGAGGGAGTGTGTGTGGGAAAGGAGGAAGAGCAGCTGGCAGGCAGACACGGGTGGGAAGGGGTGCCATGCTCACTGGTGTGCTGCAGAGTGTGTGAGTGAGAGCGTGTGCCTGGGTGTCTGGATGATCTATTATGAAAGAGCATATTTGAACATAGGAACTCAGAGAAAACTGCTGGTGTTTATCTAGACTCACATGAGTCAGAAATCTGAATGAAGATAGATGTGGCGATCCAGCTAGAACAAAAGTGCTTCATCATTTTTATGCACTTGCTGTGTCAGGCACTATTTTGTCTTGGTTTATCACCCAGGCTGGAGTGCCATGGCGTGATCTCAGCTCACTGCAACCTCCACCTCCTGAGTTCAAGCTATTCTCTTGAACTTCAAGCTATTCTGCCTCAGCTTCCCAAGTACCTGGGACCACAGGCATGTGCCACCATGCCCTGCTAATTTTTGTATTTTTAGTAGAGACAGGGTTTCACCATATTGGCCAGGCTGGTCTCCTGACCTCAGGTGATCTTCCCACCTTGGCCTCCCAAAGTGCTGGATTTACAGGTGTGAACCACTACACCTGGCCTGTCAGGCACTATTATAAGTGCTTCACTGGATGTTAATGTATTTAATTCTCATCCCAACCAATGTGGTGTCAATATTACCCTCATTTTACAGATAAAGAAACAAACATAGGAAGGTTAAGTGACATCTATATGGTTACACAGCTACACTGAATCCTGATTTGCACTGAGGAGCTGCAGGGGATATGACTCCTAGCTCAGCTACCTAACTAGCCCCTACTGCCTTCAGCCACTGTCCTGGGCTGCCCCACGTCAGACATCTTCCTCTTCTTGGACACCAAATACAGATGTACAGATAAAGCTGGCAGCTCAGCTATTTCTGGGCTGGAATCCATTTCTTCTCCTATGTTTAAACAAATAACATTAAAACCTCTCGGTCCTGCTTTTCTTAGTCAAGTTGCCTGAAACAGTTGCAAGTTTGTCTATTTCACCACTTTCCACAGTTGGGCTGTAATCCTCATAAGGGCCACTTCCACTAAGGCCAACAGTAACCTACATGTTGCCAAATCAAGGGACATTTCTCAATAATAAGGAAAAAATTACCACACCTCCCAGGCTCAAGTGCTTCTTCTGCCTCAGCCTCCCAAGTAGCTGGGACTACATGTGCACACCACCACACTCAGCTGATTTTGTTGTATTTTTGTAGAGATGGGGTTTTGCCATGTTGGCCAGGTTGGTCTCGAACTCCTGACCTCAGGAGATCTACCCATCTCAGCTTCCCAAAGTGCTGGGATTACAGGTGTGAGCCACCACATCCGACCCTTTCTTCTTTTATACTTTCTTCTTAGTCATCTCATTTATACTTAGACAATCTTAGTGTACAATCTTACACCTAGATAGTCATAGGGAGGTCGATAGGTAGGTAGTCAGATAGATTAGATAGATAGATAGATAGATAGATAGATAGATAGATAGATGATAGATGTCATAGGGAGGGAGGGAGGGAGGTCATCAGATAGATTAGATAGATAGATGATAGATAGATAGATGATAGATAGATAGATAGATAGATAGATAGATAGATGATAGATAGATAGATAAGATAGACAGACAGACAGACATGTATGCATATTTCCTCTGGGCTCCAAGCTCAGGTAGCCAACATCTTCATATCATCTGAACGTCCATTACATACTTAAAGCTCATGTCCCAGGCCGAATTCATCTATTCATAGCTCCCAACTCTATTCATCCTGTACAACAATTCTGCTGGCCATTAGAGCCAACGTCTGAAAATCATCTTTAACTCCTTTCTTCCTGTCATAATTGTCACTGGTGTGCTGGAACATACACCATGCCCACTGTGTATTCAATAACTCAGGTTAATTTATTCCTCTCTACACTGCCATCATCTTTGTTTAGGATCCTAATGAATGCACCTGCCTCAAGTCTTCCAGTCATCATGTTAAACTGCAAGTCAGGTTATGTGTTTCCTGCTTTGCCTGCTGTCCAATTCACTTCCTCTTCAAGATGATGTCTCTTGAACAGTCCATGATCATTTTCTGACACTCAACCTATATTAGTTACAAGGAAGCAGCTGAAACTGGATTATGCAAAAAAAGATAAAACATTGTGTCCTGTTACACGTCTCCACATATACATCCAAAATTCTGACTTATGTCAGCCTAAATAAACATCAAAGGAGTACACAATTATATGATCTTAGGGATAAATCTATCAAAAGACATAAGGACTTTGGGGAAAAATTATTAAATTTTGGAAAGACACGAGAAGATAGAGATGCGGAGCGAAAACATGATCATGAATGAGAAAACTCAATATTCTTAAGGATTTTAAATTTATCTGCAAGTTCAGTGTGGTTCCTATTAAAATTCAATTTTATTTTTGGAACTTGAAGCTGATTTTAAAGTAAGTGCAAGAGCACCTAAGAATAATGAAAAAGTCAATTTTTAGGAAGAGAAAAATAGGCTGAGTGCAGTGGCTCACTGCTGTAATCCCAACAGTTTGGAAGGCTGAGGCAGGTGTATCACTTGAGGCCAGGAGTTCGAAACCAACCTGGCCAATGTGGCGAAGCCCTTTCTCTACTAAAAATACAAAAATTAGCTGGGCATGGTGGCACATACCTGTAATCCCAGCTACTCAGGAGACTGAGGCAGGAGAATTGCTTGAACCCAGGAGGCAGAGGTTGCAGTGACCCAAGATCGAGCCACTGCACTCTGGCCTGGGAGACAGAGTGAGACTCCATCTCAAAAATAAAAGTAAAGAAAAGAAACATGCACAAAATGGAATAGAGTCGATATCCAACCAGTATACACTTTCAGTGATCTTATTCAGTCAGACACATCTTCATCTACCCTTATATAAAGTCACAGACTCATGCCTGTAATTCCAGCACTTTGGGAGGCCAAGGCAGTAGGATCACTACAGCCTGAGTTCAGGACTGCAGTGAGCTATGATTGCACCATTGCACTGCAGCCTGGCCAACACAATGACCCTATCTCGTAAAAATTAAAAAATAAGTCATTATAAAAGTACAATTATCACAACAGTTGGTATTGGTGCAGAAATAGACAACCCCATAAAACAGGCTTATTCATATAAAAAGAGGCTTATTCATATACATAAACCTGAAAAATAACCCATAAAAAGAGGCTTATTCATATACAGAAACCTGAAAATATACAGAGGTTATGTAACAAATTGGGAGACTTCGGGTTCTTGTAGGAACATGGTGGAAACCTGGTTTTTCATCTCCCAACTTCTGTAAAAACCATACAGAGAAACAAGGTGAATTTTAAAACCAAAAGGCACAAACTAGTGAAACAAGAAGAACCTAAAGACTGCAAACTACCCGAATTTAATGCTAATAACTGGTTCAGGAAAATTTAGTTTATTTAAGTTTTCTTACATTTATTCAGATATGAGTAAAAATACTGCATATATACATATGAGAAAAAGATTAAAACCATTTCAAAAATTAAGGCTGGCCAGGTGCAGTGGCTCATGCCTGTAATCCCAGCACTTTGGGAAGCCAAGGTGGGTGAATCACCTGAGGTCAGGAGTTTGAGACCAGCCTGGCCAACATGGTGAAACCCTCTCTTTACTAAAAATACAAAAATTAGCCGTGCATGGTGGTACACACCTGTAATCCCAGCTACTCAGGAGGCTGAGGCAGGAGAATCACTTGGATTCAGGAGGCAGAGGTTGCGGTGAGCCGAGATGCACCATTGCATTCCATCCTGGGCAGCAGAGTGAGACTCTGTCTCAAAAAATAAAATAAAAAATAAAAATGATGGCTACTTTCTCGTAATGGCAGACTAGGTAATTTGGAACAATCTTACCCCTGGAGACAATTAGAAAAGTTTAAAGGCATTGGAATGATAAAATACTATGAAACATTGCTTGGGTGAGATACGAGAAAGACTAAAACCCAGAACAGTAAGCCTAGCATTTTGGGCCATGTCTCTCCTGTATGCAATTATCAATTCCAAATAAGGCTGATAAAATGCCCTGAAGCACTTTTGACAACCTCACAGGGTTAGGGATTAAAAGTTGTAGTCCATTCCTTATAATTCCAGGAG